GGACAGGGACAAGGACAGGAGGTGGCTGGGGGCCCTCCTGGCCCACCTCAGTCTCCCCCTCAGGGCAGAGGAATTTACCCTCGGTCCTGAGGCGCTGTGCCAGGCTGGCATTCTCCCAAGGACTTCTCAGGCAGAGCCCCCCTCCCCAGCCTCCTACCCACCCCTTTGCCTCCCTCTAGGCTGTGAGGTGGTCCCCGATGTCAATGTCTCAGGCCAGAAGTTCTGCATCAAACTCCTAGTACCCTCCCCTGAGGGCATGAGCGAGATCTACCTGCGGTGCCAGGATGTAAGTGAGGGCCGGGAAGGGTTCGGCACCAGGTTGAAGCGGGAGTGGGGATGGAGACCAGGGCAGGGGGCCAAGCCAGAGCCCAGCCAGCCCTTCACCGCTGTCCCCTGTTCCTCACACCCCAGGAGAAGCAGTACGCCCACTGGATGGCCGGCTGCCGGCTGGCCTCGAAGGGCCGCACCATGGCGGACAGTAGCTACGCCAGCGAGGTGCAGGCCATCCTGGCCTTCCTCAGCCTGCAGCGGACGGGTGGCACAGGCTCGGGCAGCCACCCCCAGGGCCCCGACGCCTCGGCCGAGGGCCTCAACCCCTATGGCCTTGTGGCCCCACGCTTCCAGCGGAAGTTCAAGGCCAAGCAGGTGCCAAAGGAAGTGGGTGGTGGGAATGGCCATGGCATTTACCCAGCCTCCCCTGGTCCCTGGATCTCCACAGAGCCTTCCTCTAGAAAGCCGCGTGCTCACTCATTCCTTGCCCTACCCATGTCCTTGAGACTGAGTATGCCAGTCCCCAGCCTATGGGAGGGGTCACGGCCCAGCTGCCTGAGTCTACCTCAGGGCCTGGCCCAGCTCCTAGCCGCCAGAGTAGTGACACAGTGTGCTGTGGAGGCCCTGCCCCTGCTCCAGGCTCAGACTCTACTCTCCCTGATGGGGACAGACAGTGGGTGGGGGGGGGTTGTCTCAGGGACGTCGGCCGCCCCTCACCAATGTGGTCCCGCAGCTCACTCCACGGATCCTGGAAGCCCATCAGAACGTGGCCCAACTTTCACTGTCCGAGGCTCAGCTGCGTTTCATCCAGGCCTGGCAGTCCCTACCCGACTTTGGCATCTCCTATGTCGTGGTCAGGTACGGCCCGCCCCAGCCCACTCTGCCCTCCCCTCCTGCCTAGAGCGGGGGACCCCGAAGCCCCCCTTCCTGCTCTGTGCGGGCGCCCCACCATCCTGCACCCCCGCAGCAAACCCCAGAGCGAGAGACCAGGCAGGAGGGCAGGAGTCCCGGCTCCCGTCCCAGCTCTGCCGCAGCCCGGTCCCTCCCCAGGCCACCGTCCGCTGCGAGGACCTTTTCCCAGCCCGCAGAGACAGCCAGGCAGCAGATGACGGTGGTCCCCACAGAAGTTGTTATTGAAAGGCCTGGACAGTTTGCCTGATGCTGCCAAAGGCTTGGATAATGCTTGCTATCAGTTAGCCCTCATTTTCCAGATGAGGAGCTTGAGGACCAGAGACCGGAAATGACATGAGCACAGCGGGCTCGGGAGCTCGCACCAGGCTCTCTGGGGGTGTGCTCGGGGCCCATGCGGGGCAGGGCTCTTGCTCCCACTCTGTCCTCCCTGGGCACTAGGTTCAAGGGCAGCAGGAAGGACGAGATCCTGGGCATCGCCAACAACAGACTGATCCGCATCGACTTGGCCGTGGGCGACGTGGTCAAGACCTGGCGCTTCAGCAACATGCGCCAGTGGAATGTCAACTGGGACATCCGGCAGGTGGGCCGGGAGGGCGAGTGGGGGCGTGGCCAGGACGGGTGGGGGCGTGGCCAGGACGGGTGGGGGCGTGGCCAGGGCTCCCTGGGGCAGGACCTGGGCGGCTCCCTTATCCCCACCCCCAGCGGTCCCCCTGGCTGCTCCCTCCGCAGGTGGCCATCGAGTTCGATGAGCACATCAACGTGGCTTTCAGCTGTGTGTCCGCCAGCTGCCGCATCGTGCACGAGTACATCGGGGGCTACATTTTCCTGTCCACGCGGGAGCGGGCCCGCGGGGAAGAACTGGATGAGGACCTCTTCCTGCAGCTCACAGGGGGCCACGAGGCTTTCTGAGGCCTGTCCCATTGTCCCCACTTTTGCTCACTACCTGCTATGGCCACTCCTAAGCCCACACACACCCTCTCCAGACAGACACTGAGCTGGGCACACTCACCTGATGTCACTGGCTTTGTGCAGACCAGGGACCTAACTGGACCAGACTCTGCCATCCCCCAGGCTAGAGAGGGTGGGCTGTGAGCTCGTACGATGCCCACCCTTTCCTTGTCTGAGTGACCAAGACCAACACGCCTGCCTAGCTGTAGTCCCTGAGCGCACCGGGAAGGCTGGCTGTAGCTGCAGAAGAATTCACGGTTCCAAACTGGAATTTGTCATCTTTTTTACGTTTCTTTCTTTTTTTTTTTTTTTTTAAATAAATATTTTATTGTCGGATCATCCTTTTTCCTCTGGAGCTGTGCTCGGGGCCACTCTGACACTCGGTCTCTTCATTACCAGCCAAGGACAGGGACTTTCCTGAGACAGAGGCAGCCGTTGGTTAGGGAAAGGAAGACCTCACTCAGCCTGGGGCTGGGAGCTGGGAAAGAGGAGAGGGCAGAGGGCACAGGAGCCAGGAGCCAAGACTAGAAGAGTGGTGGTTCTCACGGGTAGGACGCAGCTGCAGGGCCGCCTTGAAGTACTTGGGGAGCAGAAAGCCATCGGCGTTCCCCGGGGTCAGGATCACTCCGTTGGCAGAGCGGAAGAAGGGGACTCCATCTGCGGACAGGGCTGGAGATGTGACTTAAGCCTTCTCTGAAGCCCTAGGCCAGTCCCTGCTGGGTGGAGACTCACCTGCCAGGGCCAGGGGCCCATCGATGAACACGGCCACTTCGCAGTTTGGCCGAATGCCTGAGGAGACAATTGGAGCTGGGACCTAGGGTGCTCGGGGTTGTAGGCTTCAAACCCGGGCAGGCTCAGTGTAGGGAAGGGGCTCCTGAGCAAGCAGAGCATGCAGTGGCCTCGGGCAAGAGGCGTTGTCCTTGGAGGGAGCTTGATCTTTGAAAAGGGACCTAGTAGGACAAAGTGGGAGGGAGTGGCTGGGGAGGGGCACTGACCACTGATGACGCCAGGGTCCCCAGGCAGTCCTGGGGCCAGGTGGATGTGTGTCCTTCCCCGGCAGGACAGGCCCTTGAGCAGGATGGACGGCCAGTGCTGCCAGAATGTGCCGTGGACGAGCGTCAGGGGCAGGGCCTGGGGGGTCTCCAGGGGCATCAGCTCTAACTCGGGTACCTGGCATGAATGGGGGCATAGAGAGCGGTGAGACCCCCCTCACAGGCAGGGGTCCCACCTGGCTCTCCCACGTGGCCCCTTCGCTCCCCACCGGCAGGGAGTGGCCCTGATTGGCCCGGATGAGAGGGCCGGTGCTGGGGTCCCCCGGCTGCAGGGCGAACCGCTGCTTCTGGCTGGTGTCCACCACGCGCTGCACATCTTCAGCAGAGAAGCTGCAGAACTGGGGCAGCTGGAGGAGGGTGCCCAGGGGCACGAAGCCATCTGCAGACAGGCAGGAGCTGAGCTCGCTCTGGCCTGCACCACAGTGAACAGGGGGAGTCACAGGCAACCAGAACAGAGCCTGGGCTGGGGGCTCACAGGGGTTCCTCTGTGTGACCTTCAGAAAGTCTCCCCTCTCTGGGCCTCGGTTTCCTCCACTTACATGGGAACAGGATCTGCCTCACGGGGGGTCACAAAGATAAAGTGACCCTTTTTAGCACAGTACCCTTCTCAGAGTGGACACTCAGTAAACACCGGTTACTTCAATACCTGCCCCCACCCAAGGCCCACTCTTGGGGTCAGTGTTTATTGAGCAACTGCACAAGAGATATCAGCAGGCATGGCCTAGACAGAGGGTCCTCTCTCAGTTTGCTCCATACATGATATTGGGCTCTAGGCCTCGGGATTCCCTGAAAATGGAGAGGATGTGCCCTCTGTACCATCCCCATAGGGGCCATGGGGTAGGACAGTCACAGATAGGCTCATACTGCTCCCTTCCTCCAACCACTCCTCACCTCAGTCTTTAAGATTCTCACTTACCAGCCCTCATGGGAAGCCCCAGCTTCAGGGCCCCGTGTCGCAGAGCGTAGGACAGAGCCTTGGACAGCTGCACATCTCGGTCCTGTAAGAGCCCAGAGGTGGCCCCTGGTCCCTGTGGTGCTCCCTGCCACCCGCCCCAAACTCTGAGTGACCCGCTGCAGAGGGAGGGATAGTGCAGGGAGAGGAATCCCTGCGCTCTCTGGGAAGAGCAAGACCCATCAGCGGCCACTCCCATCCCCCTAGCATATTCCAGGGAGCCAGGGCTGAGTCCTCCTCCTTTACCCTCCCACCAAGAAAGTGGGGGTGAGGGTGGGATGGGCGCACCTGTTCCCGGGGTCTGTGAGCCCTTCTACCCCTGGGTCCTGCAGCTTCCTGCCGCCTTCCTCCACGGGAGTTCATGGCTAAGACCTGCTGGGTACAGCGTTAAGGTGGGGGCTGTTAAAGACCCTTTCGTGTCCCCACCCCGCCCAGCAAGCCACCAAGCCTCAGGATGTGAGAGCTGGGACGGGGACATTCAGTTCAGTAAATTCACTTCCCACCCCCAACTCTCTGGTGCAGATAGGGAAACTGAGGCCCAGCATGCAAGATTTGCCCAAGGTCACACTGCGGTCGCCACGGATCCCAGGGAAAAGGAGCCCCCGCGCTCCAGTCTCGCGAGTCTGCCCCGCAAAGGGAGCCTGAGGAGGGGGCCGGGCGTCCAGGCTAACGGGGCGGCAGCGTCAGGGCAGGCCGAGACAGAGTCGGGAAGAGGGAGACAGACTAGCAGGCTCACCAGCTTCGGGAGCCGAGCAGACGACCCGCGAGGGCCCGGGCGCAGGGAGCGGCCAATGGGAAGCCAAGGAAGAAAGGGGCGGGCACTTCCGCTTCAGGAGAAGGGGCGGAGCCTGCGGGAGCTGGTGGGTGCCGGCTGGAGGTTTGAGCTTCCGGACCCTGGAAGGGGTCCTGGCGCATCAGAGGTTGAAGGCAGGATCCTGGGTTTGGGAGAAATGGGCATAAAGGGGTGACTGGACCCAGGACCTCTGGGTGGTTGAGATGCGCGTGAGTCCCAGGATGTCTGACAGCAGGGATCTCAGGGCTCTTGGGATAAGACACTTTACTGCCCAGGGAGTGGTCAAGAGGGGTACAGAAGGGCTGTGGGGGTACCCTCAGGAGGTCTGTGGCAGAGGGGGCCGGCTGCCAGGGCCAAGGGTCGCTGTGAGGCTCTCGGGGTGACAAGCCCGGCTGTGTCGTCCCCCCAGAGCTGCCCCGTCCAGACTATGGACCCTGAAGTGTCCCTGCTGCTGCAGTGCCCCCCAGGTGGGCTGTGGGAGGAGCAAGTACAGGCTGAGCTGAGCCCAGACTATGACCGTCGCCCACTGCCAGGAGGGGACAAGGCCATCGCTGCCATCTGGGAGAGCCGACTGCAGGCTCAGCCTTGGCTCTTTGACGCCCCCAAGTTCCGCCTGCACTCAGCCATCCTGGCCCCCAGTGGCTCACAGGGGCCACAGCTGCTCCTGCGCCTGGGCCTGACTTCCTACCAAGACTTCCTGGGCACTAACTGGGCCAGCTCAGCTGCCTGGTTGCGACAGCAGGGGGCCGCTGACTGGGGTGACAAGCAGGCCTATCTGGCAGACCCGCTGGGGGTTGGCGCCACACTGGCCACCGCTGATAATTTCCTCGTCTTCCTGCGTCGCTCTCAGCAGGTGGCTGAGGCACCTGGGCTGGTGGATGTGCCCGGTGGGCACCCTGAGCCTCAGGTGAGATGCCAGACTGGATGCAAACGCAGAGAGACTCTGCTCAGCTTTGTTCTCTTCATCCCTTAAAGGGGAGATTGGCCTAGTATTTCTCTGGAAGTCTGCTCAGGGCAAACCCCAGCCTCCCCACTGACCCCTGTCCCAGACCCATGGACCACTAGGGAATGATGGGGAGGGGTGGGGGGTGGGGGTGGGCAGAGGACCTAGCTGGATCTCTGTTTGTCCATCTGGAAAAGTCGGGCCCAGGACGGGGGACCACCAGACTCTTAACTCTGTGCCTAACCGGGCCCTCAGGGCCAGCAAACATGTGGGGAGGCAGAGCGGGAAGAGATGGGGAACTGGGCTGAGCCTGACCTCTCCCAGGCCCTGTGCCCTGGTGACGGCCCCCTGCACAAAGAGCTTCCTGGGGAGCTGGTGGTGCACGAGCTCTTCTCCAGTGTTCTCCAGGAGATCTGTGATGAGGTGAGTGGCGGGGCGGGGGGGGGGGGGGGCGACAGGTGGGCAAGAAGGGAGGGGGTAGAACATGCTGGAACCCCACGGGTGTGGGCTGGTGGGAGGGTCTGCAGGCATCTGGAATTGAGGGGGAAGAGCTTGGCTTTGCAGCTAGATGCAAGTGGAGTGGAATTCTAGCCCTCATTTCCGCGTGCCTCAAGCTCTTCCTCTTTACAAGGGGAACAATGAGAAACGTCTTGCCTGTTCCCACCCGCCACCCCCTGTCCGTTGAAGGGAGGAGTAAATGAGAGTCCCGGTTACGCTGGACCTACCTTGGGTAACCTTGAGCAATTGTTCAAGATCTCAGGTTCTGCTTTCCCATCTGTAACACGAACATGCCCGGGATCTGACAGTCTGTGATTCTGGACACTTGGACCGTACGCTGTAAAGTGCTGTACAAGGGTACTGCTCTCCCTTGAGAGGGGCCGGGATGTGGGCAGTGGGCACTGACTGGTGGACCCCCCCCCCCCAGGTGAACGTGCCGCTGCACACCCTGAGCCAGCCCCGGCTATTGGGCATTGCTCGCAATGAGACCAGTGCCGGCCGTGCCAGTGCTGAGTTCTATGTCCAGTGAGTGAGCCTCTGGGGTTTGGGGTCCCAGGTCCTGGGGTAGGTGGGTGGTAAAGGGAAAGGTTGAGGCAGCTGGGAACAAGGACCTGCTGGGGACTGGGTGCTCCCCAAGCCACACTCACGTCTTTGTGCAGGTGCAGCCTGACTTCTGAGCAAGTGAAGACGCACTACGTGAGTGGGGGACCTGAGGCCCATGAGTCCACGGGAATCATCTTCGTGGAGACACAGGTGTGACGGAGCAAAATGTGTCCTGCTTGGACAGGGAGCTATATAGTGTTGGGGCATATGGACGCCTGGTGGTGCATGGCTGGCCCCCCGGGGCTGGGTCAGATGGGGCCGCCGAATCTCAGAGCTTTCCTCCTGAGCCACAAAGCCTCGCTGCGGGGGGTGCCGGGAACCTCTTCAGTCTTCTTAACGTGTCTTCAGTGACGTGCAAAGGGTTCTGAGGCTCAGGACCCCAGGACTGGACGTCAGGGGGCTTACTTTCTCCCCACAGAGGGTGCGGAGGTTGCAGGAGACCGAAATGTGGGCTGAGCTCTGCCCCTCGGCCAAAGGCGCTATTTTCCTCTACAACCAGGTCCAGGAAGTCCCCGCCCATTCGCCCTAGACCCCAACCCTATCACAACTTGAAAGACAATAAAGGATTTTATTCTTGGATTCCCTTGGCATCTGCTGTTTTGGTGAGACAGAGATGGGGCGCTGGGAGAGACCTGGGTGTGTGAGAGAGTGTCTTGGGGCGAAAAAAAACCCCCAAAGAAACCCAGCCCCTGCAAACTGGGATGAGTACCGTGCCTCCTTGCGAAGGCTGTGGTGAGGGTCGGGGTCTCCTATGGGGTGGAAGCTGCTTTATGAAGGAAACCCCGCTGCGGAGCAGAGTAACAGCTACGTTCTGGGAACAGAGCCACGGAAGCCGGGCCGACAGCCTCACGGAGGGCCAGGCAACGCCGGTGTCTTTCCGCAGGTCCGCGGGCCTCTACCTGGTTGGGTGACCCGAGAAGCCAAAGGCCAATGGGGGTGCGGGGGTGGGGCCTTCCGACGCACGTCCGGAGCGGCCGGCTCGGTGGGCGTGGTCTGGGCATCTAGGCCAATGAGAACATGGAGGTGGGGCCTGAATAGGCGGAGGAGATGGCCGTGGCCGAAATCCGTGAGCGCAGCGGAGGCGGGGCTTGGCGTGACCCCTCCTTCGCCTCCCCCTAGGGTGGTGGGGAGGGGGTCTCGGCGTCCGGGTCGGCCCGGACGCCCAGACCAGTGTGGCGGAGGGCCCGGGACGCCCGGGTCAGAAGCAGGGGCAGATTCAGGACTCTGGGGTCTGGTCCTGAGTAAAGGAGGCCCCACTGCCCCTGGGTCCCCCAAGCCTGCTTCAGTTTACCTTCGCGAGTAAATGGGGCTGGACCTTCCCCTTTGGTCCCATCCTGGTCCCAATGTACTGCTCTTTGTGGCCTCCTTTCACCAGCCGTCTGCCTGTCGCCATGCTGTCCCTGTGCCTGTGCCGGTTGTGGCCCCGCAGCCCTCCCACCCGGCTCTTCTCAGCGGCCACCGGGCAGCGGTGAGTCGGGGGCCGGGGGCATGGCCCCCGTCATTCAGTGGGTTGAGGGGGACCTGCCCAGCTCTAGGCTTGGACCTGGGTACTATGATAGCCGTGATCTCTGTACTTGGTGTCAGGTGCTGTACGGGCTTGTTTCAGGTAACCCTCACCCTCACTACTGAGGACACAAGATCAAAGATTAAGGGACAATCCCTCAGGTCATACAGCGAGTTAAGTGGCAAAAGTGGAATTTGAGTCCAAGCCAAGCTCAGTGCTCTTTTCACAACTCTAGTGGTCAAGCATCACTGGATATAGCTCACTTGGCGGCTTGGGGCTGGGGCTGGGGGGTTTTCAAACCCTGGAGGTTTTCCGGGGCCTTCCGAAATCCTTGGAGATTCTGATCTGCAGGAATGAAGTGAGGCTGAGGAACCTGTTTTTCTAAACAAGCTCTCTGGGTGTTTCTGACCCAAGGAGTCTGAGGGCTACACTATGAGATGTTCTGATCTGCACCATGCCTGAAGTGTTCAAAAAAGGTGGGACGATTTGGAGAGAGATCTCCGTTGGCTGCAGCCTCAGCTTCCTCACCTCCTGGTCACTGACTTGAAGAGTGTGGCCCAGCGGGGCTGGGAGGGGGAGGGGAGGAGTCGTCTCTCTCTTTCCACAGCCCCTGCAGTTTTGGGCCTATCTCCACAGGTCTGGCCCCAGGAACTACTATGAACTGTTAGGGGTGCACCCTAGTGCCAGCACCGAAGAAGTTAAACGAGCTTTCTTCTCCAAGTCCAAAGAGGTACCAGTGGCTCTAGGCAGGGAGGAGGGGGTACACTAGAGATTCCCAAGAATGGTGCTGAGTGGCCCACTCTGGATGGTGCCACATTCCCTTTGCATGTATAGAGAGCGAGAGGAGCCTCAAGGGCAGAGGTTAGGCTCGTTGGGAGGAAAGGTTGAGGGTAGGAATCAGGGGTTCTGTGTGATGGGCTGGGCTTGGTTCTTTTGACCCGCCTGCTCTTGGGAAAGCTCAGACCAGAGCATATGGCGAGAACCAGGCAGCCAGTGGGGAGGGCTTGGACAAGGGGAGGGGGCAGGAGTCTGTGCTTTCTGACTCTCTGGCCTTCGGGGTGGGCAGGCCTCACAGTGAGGGTTACTGTCCAGGCAGGGCCTCTGGGAATGATTTGAGCCTTTGTGGGTAGACATTACGGGGAAGGGATGCGGGAAAAGACCCTGGGGTCCTTCCCCACCCCAGCTGCACCCTGACCGGGACCCTGGGAACCCGGCCCTGCATAGCCGCTTCGTGGAGCTGAGTGAAGCGTACCAAGTGCTCAGCCGGGAGCAGAGCCGCCTCAGCTATGATCGGCAGCTCTGCTCAGCGGCTTCTCCAAAGTCTTCAGGAAGCACAGCGCATCCCGGGTCTGCACGAGCACACAGGTACAGCCGTCCTGCCCTGGCCTGCCCCCCTCCCGCGCGGGTCTCCCAGGGAGCCTCATCCCCACCCTGTCCTTTCTTCTCCCTCCCGGCAGCTCCTGGGAGTCCCCCAATGCACAATACTGGGCCCAGTTTCACGGTGTGAGGCCTCAGGGACCAGAGTCGAGGCAGCAGCAGCACAAACACAACCAGCGAGTGCTGGGGTACTGTCTCCTGATCATGCTGGCGGGCATGGGCCTGCACTATGTTGCTTTCAGGTGCATCCCTGCGTTCTCCCTGGGGTGATGGGCAGAGGGAGGGGCGTGGGGGAGAGCCGGTGGGGTCAGCCCCCGCAAGCACACCACCCCCGGGGCCTGCACTTTTGGGCCTCTCAAGCTAAGAACTGCCCTAAACCGGTCTCTGGAGCCTCTCCTTACTTGGCAAAGGCAGCTCTACACTCGCTAAAGGCGAACATTGTCATTTGCAGAGTTTTGTCATTTGAATCTGAATCTTTGGCGCTGGCTGCCAGGGTGTGCTAGGGCCAACCAAAATCGTGCACCAGAAGGAAAAACCTCGGAACTGGGCCTCACCCGCAGCTATCCCCGCTTGTTTGGCCATAGGCTGTCTCCCTGCCTCTGTTTCATGCATATCGCAGACGTTCTGAGGTTCTATAACAAAGACACCTAAAGGCTGGCACCCACTGCCTAGTTCAGTGATGGAGTTCAATGTAACACTCTTTCTAGTCTCCTGTGAGGAACACCCTGATGTTCAGAGCTGCTATCACCACCTTCAACAGGACAGCCAGGGCCCTGGGTCACCAGTGGACCCTGAATAAGCCCGTCTGGGCCCCCTCTCGCCACCTAGCACAGGCAGTTAGGCGGAGGTCCTCACAGATGGAAAGCTTTGAGACCCTAGAGTGGCGTGGAGGGTGTGGAGTGGATCCGCGGGACAGTAGGGGTTGGGAAGCCCGGGGTTAACTGTAGCGCCCTTGCAGGAAACTGGAACAGGTCCACCGTGGCTTCATGGACGAAAAGGACCGGATCATCACAGCCATCTACAATGACACACGGGCCCGGGCCAGGTCCGTCCCTGCTCTGCCCTGCCTTCTCTCTACTGTCCTGGCCTCACCCTCCCAGATCCTCTGCCTGACCGCCCAGGTGCTCTCTCCCGCAGGGCCAACAGAGCCAAGCTCCAGGAGCGACTGCAGAGCCAGCAGCCGCAGCCCCGACCTGGCCCAGGGATCGTGCCTCCCGGCACCGGCACGGGCCCCGACCCTGGAGCGGCCCACTAGAACGGGGCCTCCTCTGTGTTCCCTCCTCGCTACCCCGGGGGACGCCCCACTACCCCAAAACGCTTGCAATAAACTGATTCTCAGAGCTAGCGTCCAGCTCCTTGCCTCAGGCTCGGCGCCCCCGTCCCGGGCCTCTCCGGGGGACAGCACCCCGCCCTCCGGGTCCTGGCGGCTGCGACCCGGGAGCCCGGCCCCCTGGGCGGTGCGTCCCCTTTCCCCTGCTGCGGCGGGAGTGGGGTGTGTGGAGGGGGCGGGCCCCGGCGGCGGCCTCGCCCCCCCCACCCCCGCCCCGCCCCCGCCCCGCGGCCCGGTGGGGAGCGCGTGTCTGGGTCACATGAGCCGCCCGCCCGCCAGCCCGGGCCCGGCCCCCCGCCACCCCCGCCGTCCCCGCCGCCGCCCGCCACCACCGGCCGCCCGCCCGCCCGGCTCCTCCGGCCTCCGCTGCTGCGCTGCGCTGCGCTGCCTGCGCTCAGGGCTCGGGAGGGGGCCGCGGAGGAGCCGCCCCCCGCGCCCGGCCCCCGCCCGCCGCGCCCGGGCCCGCGCGATGGGGCTCTGGCTGCCGCCGCCCCCCGCGCCGCCGGGCTAGGGCGATGCGGGCGCCCCCGGCGCGCGGCCCCCGCGGGCACCATGAGCCCCCTGCTCCGCCGCCTGCTGCTCGCCGCGCTCCTGCAGCTGGCCCCCGCCCAGGTACGTGCGTCCCCGCCATCCCGCCCGGCCGCCGTGCCCTCTCTCAAGGTTGGCGGAAGTGGGGAGACGCGGAGCGGCCTCGGCCTCGGGGATCCGCGGGGTCGGGGCTGCGGACCGGGGCGTGGCGGGAATCCGGCCAGGGCATCCCCCGGGAGGAGTCCCTGCCCGCCAGCCCGCCAGTCCGCCAGCCCAGCCCCGGGCCACTCCCCTGCCCCACCCCGTCCCCTGGGCTCGACCGGGGGCGGAGCCGCTCAGTGCCCCGCAGGACTTGGTTCGGCGCCCACTGTGCCCCCCTCCTGACCTGAGGCCTCCGAATCCGCCGGGCCCCAGGCTTGGAGATTCGACGTCACCGCCTGCCACCGGCAGAGTGCGCCTGGCGCGTCGTGGCCAGGGCAGGTCCCAGGTGGCCGGGAGAGGACAGGTAAAGCTAGTGACCCCAGGAGCAGAGCAATCGGGAAAAATGTCCTAGAGGAGCGGAAGCCTTTTGACTGCAAGGGCAGAGCCCTGGGGACAGCGACCCGCCTAGCCTTTCCTAGAGAGCGCTTTGAGTTCAGCTCTCTCCTCTCCTACAGGGCCCTGTTTCCCAGCCTGATACCCTGGGCCACCAGAAGAAAGGTAATAGTAACAACCACTACACCAGCCAGCATCAAGGTTTGCCCCCCCCCCCAATGTTGTGTAATCACGGCCACGCTCTAGGATGCAAACTTTTATTCTGCCCATTTCACAGAAGAGAAAATTGAGACAGTGGGGTTCCTGGGCAGGGGAAGCCAGGTTTTGAGGGCAGAGAGGGAGCTGGTGGAGGGTGGCTGTGGCACAGGGATTACGGAGAACAGCTGCGGGGTACAGGGGAGACGGGAACCAGGGAGCAGCTGCAGGAAGGCCAGCGGGGACTTAACCCTTATGCATCTGCCCCCAGTGGTGTCATGGATAGACGTATATGCCCGTGCCACCTGCCAGCCCCGGGAGGTGGTGGTGCCCCTGACCGTGGAGCTCATGGGCACCGTGGCCAAGCAGCTGGTGCCCAGCTGTGTGACTGTGCAGCGCTGTGGTGGCTGCTGCCCTGACGACGGCCTGGAGTGCGTGCCCACTGGGCAGCACCAAGTCCGAATGCAGGTACTGGGGCGGGTGGGGTGTGCCCTGCTGGGGCGGATGCTGGTGCTCCGGAGGGAGGGGTGGCGGTGGGAGGAATGGCCAGAGCCTCGGCTGGCGGGCGAGCTGTTCTCTCTCCAGCCCACGGAGCACTCCCTTCCTCTCTGTCTCTCATGGTCTCTCTCACATTGCTTCTCCTCGATCTCTGGAGTACAGATACTCATGATCCGTTACCCGAGCAGTCAGCTGGGTGAGATGTCCCTGGAAGAACACAGCCAGTGTGAATGCAGGTGCCGGCCGGGCCCCACTTCCGCGCTCCCCGAGACCAGGCGTGGGGGGCGCTGGGCATGGTGGGACACCACAGTGGAGATGTGTCCAAGACTGGACGTGGGTTAGGCCTGGGACCTGGGGTAAGGGTAGGACGCTTGGCTTTTCTGATTCTCCTCCTCCTCGCCTCTGTCTGTCTCTCTTACTTTTCAGACCAAAAAACAGAGAGAGCGCCGTGAAGCCGGACAGGTGAGTCTCATGGGTTCTTGCTGAGGTGGGGTTGGAGCCCAGACCCCACCCCCAGGAGGTAAACGCAGGGAGGGGGCAGGAGGTGTATGAGTGTGGCAGGAGGCTGCAGTCCCGCCCCCCCTTTCTCCTCCCACTGTGTCCCCCTCTCCCCTTTTCCTCTGCCCCCCGAGTCCCGTGTGCTCCGATCCAACCCCAGCTGCCGGGAAGACTTTTCCTTCCCGCCCCAGACATGTTGCTTCTCCTCCTAGGGCTTCCACTCCCCATCACCGTCCCCAGCCCCGCTCTGTTCCGGGCTGGGACTCTGCCCCCGGAGCACCCTCCCCAGCTGACATCACCCATCCCACTCCAGCCCCAGGCCCCCCTGCCCACGCTGCACCCAGCGCCGCCAGCGCCCTGACCCCCGGACCTGCCGCTGCCGCTGCCGACGCCGCAGCTTCCTCCGTTGCCAAGGGCGGGGCTTAGAGCTCAACCCAGACACCTGCAGGTGAGGGGCGGAGGGGCTGCATTTGTTTGGGGAGGCATCAAGGCCCTTAGAGCGGGTCCAAGGTGAGCCTGCCAGTGGGAGAAGAGCCAGGGAAGGGGAAACTATTGACTGTGTGGAACAAATACAGGCCAAGGCTCACGTTCTAACGCGCGAGTCAGACGTCAGGATTCGCGATGCCCGCAGAGGGGGTCAAGGGCTGAGGTGAGGGGCGCTGACGGGGATTCTGAGAGGCCGGAGATGAGCTGGAGGAGGGAGCATCTGCAGTCAACGTAGGGGAGGTGGCTTTCCAGTTTGCAAAGCTCTGGGCCTTGCTCAGAGCCCCTGTGGTAGACATTTGTGCCCACCTTGTGGGCTCTGAGAGGCCAGGGGACAGACTGGACCTCTCGCCCACCCTTGTCTGAGATGCTTCTCACTGCTCCTTCCTTCCACAGCTAGGCCACAGGGTGGCATCAGGTGGGCTCGCCAGGAGTGTTAGGAGACAGTGGGGTTCACAGAGGGTAACAAGGGGGTGGGGCCTGGGGGCACGGGGGCTGAGCTGTGCCCGCGTGAACAGACCCCTTCCTCCCTTCCTCAGGTGCCGGAAGCTGCGAAGGTGACACGTTGCCTTTCAGACTCAGCAGGGCCACTTGCCTCACAGGCCACACCCCAGAGGGGCACAAGAGGGCAACATGTTGAGAAGCACCCAGTCCCTAGACCTCAGCGTGGTCAGAAGGTGCTCCCGGACCTCTCAGAGGCCTTTCCAGCTGTCCCCGGTCTCACCCAAGGCTGCCATCCAACAGGGTGGGCAGCTGGATGACGCGACGTGTCGGCAGCGCCCGGGGTCATGGACTAACTCGGGGGAGAAGGGGTCCCGTCTCGATGTGCAACCACGTGCGAGTGAGCGTCGTCCAGCCGGCTCCACCATCCCCTCCCTGAGGCGCCGATCCTCCGCAAACACTGGGGAGTTGGGCTTCTTCGGTGTAAGAACTGTGACCCCCAACCCTGATAAAAGAGATGGAACGATCTGTCCCCGCCTGTGTCACTGTTTGCCACCACCCAGGCCTTGCGATTCAGGCATTCCGTGCCGAACTGTCTCCCAGACCCGGTCTTACTCTCCCATTGTGCAGATGGAGGAAGTGAGGCCCCAGGTCCCCCATCCAGTCGACAGAGCCGGACCCGTGTATTCTTCACAGTCCTGTTACATCCAGGCCCTGGGGAGGCCCTGACCGCGCCCCCCTGCTCATCACAAAGGTTTCTTTCTGGAAGGAGACGGTCTGTTATGGCCAGTGAGCTGGAGGTGGGACGCAGATCTGCTGAACGATCTTGGCTGTTGCGGTCCCCTCCCCCCAACCCCCATCCCCCGCTTTCTGAGCCTCAGTTTCCACATGTGCACATGGAGGGAATGGATGATTGCTACGGTCCCAGCCCTTGGGCTCCAGGAACATTTGTCTTCTCTGGCAGGCACCGCTTGATATTTACTGCCCCATATTTAAGCTACTTCCTACAGCTTAACTCTAAAGCCGCACACCTGCCCTGTCCCCACCTCCTTGAAATGGAACTACCAACGAGCTGTGGCTGGTGGGCTTGGTTTGGGAGCCATGTCCCTCACCCCAACCACTTTCCTCCACCTCCTCACCTCCCTCCCCTCACCAGCCCCTGCTTGGGATTATCCTGACCTTGGTCTGACCCAGCCTAAGCTCAGTGCCCGGCCTCTGCCTGCGGCCTCCTATGCAGTGACGTGGGGAGGACCAAAGGCCAACTTTGGGTACCGATGCTTTGCCTGGGGGAGGCCGGGCATTCAGGGACAGAGGTTAACCCAAGGCAGAACGCAGCTACTCTAATGGAGGCCTTCTCTGAGATGTCGGATTGGAGGGCATGGACAGGATTGTGGAGGGCATGGCCGTGATCGTGTTGGGCACTAGGCAGGAGTGGGGTTAAACCAGAAGAGGCAATTCCTGACAGTGATTACCAGTTTCAAATCAGTTTCCTCAGCTGTGCTATCCCTGACCATGTCATAGCTCAATTAAAGTGAGACAGATAAGGGTCAGGGACCCTGGAGCTCCCATCCCCCAGCCCAGCCCACTTAGTGCTGGACATGCACAATGCGTCACACGCACCCCCTCGCTTGGTCCTCAATTCTAAGGTCAGCGCTGCTAATTATCTTACTCTTTCGATTAAGAAAATAAGCTCAGAAAGACTGATTGACCTGGGGGGTTGAACCCAAGCCGGCTCTCTAACACTCAAGTTTGTTGCCTCCCAACTACAAGTTCATTAGTTCAACTGCCAGATGTTAACTGCTCGCCGCTGAGTGCTGAGGCCCCTGAAAATAC